TATTACTAATTTATTTGAGCGTTTGGCGGGACAGGCAATGCGCGAGTGCTGCGCATCCTCATCCCGGCAGCCAACAGGCGGGAGAGCCCGTGCCGGACGAACTTCTGCGCCGTGCGTAGGCCTCGGTAATTATGTGTGTCTTGTGTCGTGTGCGCCGTGTGTGCGTGTGCGTGTGTCGTGTCGTGCTGCTGGCCTGATATCTGTGGAATGGCAGGAACTGGTGGAACAGAGAGACAGAAGGAAAGCAGACCACCAGCGAGGACGGAGAAGAGGAGGATGAGGAGCCGCAGGCACTCACTGTGGCGGTCCACTTCCGTGGGCTGCAGATCGGCAACTGGCGCAAGTGGAACGGGAAGAGGTACACGCGACTGCACGTCATCTACGCCATCGACTGCGAGCGCATGGCCGACCCGGACTACCAGGAACAGGTCCTCTTCATCCGCCCTCACGCACGCACCGCACGCATGCACCACACACACACACACACCACACACACACACACACACACACAACCAACGGCACACACACAAACACAGGTGTTCCGCGAGCTGCACGGGTTCTTGGGCGAGGGCAAGGGCCAGTTCGAGGACGGCCTGTTCGTCAATCTGCACCTCATCAATGCGCCGCCCGACTTTGGTCCCGTGCGCATTCTCGAGCGCCTCAAGGTGTGGTCCGTATGCATGTTGCGGTGAAGCTGCGGTGGTGGCAGGTGGTGGTGACCCAGTGGAGTTCGTGGTTCTTCGGCGCGCGACAGATTCCTCTTTTCGTCGAGCCCAGGCACTGGTGCCCGTTCTACGCCGGGCCGGTGGTGTTCGTGGTCACCTCCTTCACCATGCCTCCCGCCGACGCTGTTGCCGACGACGAACCTGCCGCCGGTAACAATTAACCACACAACATAACAAACACGACCGCACGACACGACACACGACCGCACGACACGACACGAACCTTGACTTTGGTGGGTGGGACGACAACAGAGCGGGAGAAGCGCGAGTCGCTGATTATGCGGGGGCTCGTGTGGCTCAGCAAGCAGCCGATGGCCGACCGACCTCATTCCTACGTGCGACCGGACGACAGCCTGTGGCTGTGCGCTCTCACCGACGCCCGCGCCGACGAGGAGCGCCGCGCCAAAGATGAAGCCACCGCCTGGATGAACGACCTGTAGATGCGGTGTCTGAGATTTTTGTCGACCACAAGCCAATGAAACGATTTGTTTTCATCTTGTCGACAAAAAATCGCCTCACCCCCGACACACGCGTTCTCGGGAAGGTATCGATGAAGGCAACGTTAGCGACCACGACAACATGGGCGGGGCTGGACGACAACGTGCGCGCGTGCGTGCTGCTCCACCTTGAACCCCGCGACCTCGCCAACGTACCCCCCCTCTGCCCCGATGTAGAAAAATTTTATCAAAGATAAATAAATGGATATATCACTAATTTATGCTATTTTGTGGCTGGCCTGCAGGTGGCGCAAACGAGCCGGGCGATGGCGAGGGAGTCCGAGGCTGATGCCGTGTGGGCCACGCTCTTCCTGCGCCGCTTCGGGTCCGACTTTTGGGGCGAACACGTCGGCCCGCACCCCTACCACGTACCCCCCTCTACCACCCATTCCCCCCCGCCCCCTCCTACCGTCGCGCTCTCTGCTAGTGCGCACCCCCCCTACCGTGGCGCTCTTACCACTCGCGACCGACCAACTGCGGCGCAGGAGGTGGAGGCGCCGCGCGCCAATGCATGGCTGGACATGCCGGCCGTCGCCGTGTTCGAGACCTTCGTCCACTCGGTCGCCGCCGCAGAGGCGCGCCCGAGCGGCAGCGACGACGACGACGACGACGAGAGCGAGACGGCGACGCGGCGCGCGCTGCTGGCCTTTGTGCGCGGCGAGCGAGGCGCGGACAGCAGCGGGCGACAGGGCGGCGGATGGAAGCGCGCCTACAAACGGTTCGGAGCCGCCGCCCTTTTTGTCGTGTGCGGTGCACGTGTGGCTGATGTGATCGGCGATCGATCGAGCAGGATGGGGGAGATGGTGCGGGCGTGGCAGACCTTCTGCGCGTGGGGCGTGCTGGTGGCGGGCGAGACGTCGTTCGCGCGCCTGTCGGCCATCGTCGACACCATCAAGCAGGGCATCAGCTCCGGTGCGTGACGCGAGTACTCCTCCGCCCCCGCACGGCAGCCGTGTGGCGAGCTTAGGCAGCGAACTAACGTCGGCCGCGCTGTTGCACGACGGTCTTGGCCAGGCAGGCTGCGGTACATGGCGTCGTGGAGCAAGGACGACCCGCCGCTGCCGTCGGTGATCGAGAACGTCGACGTCACGAGCCCCGCCGGTGCGACAATCGATTCGCGCGTGATGTTTGTTTATATATAATTTAATTTATAATTTCTATTTAAATAATTCATAATTGGACGAAATTGTGTGCAGGCAATGCGCGGGTGCTGCGCATTTGCGTCCCGCCAGCCCACAAGTGGGACAAGTCCAGCTGGACCAACATCTGCGCCGTGCGTCGGCCCAGGTATTTTCTGCCCCCGGGTATTGATAAAATACAAATAATTAATAAATTAATAATCCTTATAGGTAATAATATTATTCTTTTTTAAATTAAAAAAATGGTGGTGATTGCAGGAATTGGTGGAACCGGTCGGCGCAAGAAACCGGCGAGGAGGCGAATCCGGCCAACTACGCGGACGACGACGAGGAGCCGCCAGAGTACACTGTGGCGGTCCACTTTCGTGGGCTGCAGATCGGTAACTGGCTCAAGTGGAACGGGAAGAGGTACATGCGACTGCACGCGATCTACGCCATCGACTGCGAACGCATGGCCGACCCGGACTACCAGGAACAGGTCCTCTTCATCTGCCCACCACCATAGAGCAATGAACCCATAAAGCGCTCACGCTCACGCACACCACACACCGCACACCGCACACCGCACACGCACAACACAGGTGTTTCGCGAGCTGCACGGGTTCTTGGGCGAGGGCAAGGGCCAGTTCGAGGACGGCCTGTTCGTCAATCTGCACCTCATCAACGCGCCGCCCGACTTTGGTCCCGAGCGCATTCTCGAGCGCCTCAAGGTGTGTATAATCGTGGCGTGTGTCTTGCGTGAGTGCCGTGAGTGCCGTGTTGCGTGCTGACGGACAACACTCGGGTCAATCGGGTTCGGCACGCGACAGATTCCGCTCTTGGAGCGCCCAGGGCACCACTGCCCGTTTTATGCGGGACCCGTGACGTTTGTCGTCACCTCCTTCACCATGCCTCCCGGCGCTGCCGTCATTGACGAGGAGGAGCCTGCTGCAGGTCCCACACACACACACTCACAGCATATGCGACACCCGCACTGACGGTGGTACCGTGTGTTGTGTGTGTTGTGTGTGTTGTGTGTTGTGTGTTGTGTCATTATGTGTTGGACTACGCAGAGCTGATCATGCAGGGCCTGGTGTGGCTCAGCAAGCAGCCGATGGCCGACCGACCGCATGCCTTCGTGCGACCGGGCGACAACCTGTGGCTGTGCGCTCTCAGCGACGCCCGCGCCGAGGCGGAGCGCAATCTGTGATGGATCGGTGCGCACCTTCACGCCACCACTTTCCTACCAAAGCTGACCGGACCTCTCGAATTGCAGGTTTGATTTTTAGGCTGAATTTTCTACCGGGCGCCACGTTTCCCGTGTTCGGCGGAAACACACAGCGTTGGTGAACAAATAGAAACTCAAGAAAACCACCAAGCCACAAGTGAGGCCTCACTCAACAACCAAACTAGCATCATGTCGGCTTCTTCCTCGTGGTCTTCTGCACTCCAGGTGGGCGACGTTTTGTGGGTGAAGCGCTCCCCGCTGGGCGAGCACCACCTATACCACCACGCCGGGGTGGTGACACGGATCGACGCCCACGGCCGCCCGACCGAGGTGGTCGACTTCGGCCCCGGCGGAGAGGGCGAAGACATCCCCCTCTGCCTGGCCCTCACCACCGGCTTCGAGGCGGCGCCTCGGGTGCTCGAGGGGGCGGTCGCGATCGAATCCATCTTCCCCCCGAGCGACACGTTCACCTACGCGCGAGGGCCGAAGGCGGGTCAAGAAGAGGAGGTGCTCCAGCGCGTGGCGGCGTCGCTGGGGGTGCCGCGGCTGTACCACCTCCAACGTAGCAACTGCCAGCACTACGCCACGGAGATGAGCTGCGGCCAGGCCAGCTCGGCTGAGGCTTTGCTCCTGGCTGAGACCTTTCGGGTTCGTGTACCCCCAATTTTACGCAGAAGATGAAGATGATGATGACGAGATAAAGATGATGTTGCATCATCTACAGGACATAGGCAGTAGGCAGGTGGTAGAGGTGGAGCTATTCAAGGGCGAGGGGTGGCTGCCAGTGCTGGCCAACGGGCTGCTGACGCTCCTCGCCTCAGCCCACAACGAAGCGCAGCACCGCTACCAACTCTTCACGACCTTGCGCACCACCCACCTCAGCGAAACCAACCCGCAGAAGTGAGCGTGGCGTACTGATGTGCCAGGTGATGTACAGAAAAAGAGCAAAGAGCATCGTCATTACTAGACCAGAGATTTTGGTCATCTTGGCGGGAGTTTGAATTTCAAACGCCAAGAATCAATGGCGGGAATGTAGCAACTGAATCCTGCGAGCCCGTTCAACACGATCCGCTCCGAGACATCAGGAGCTGGTGCCTGCCACACGTACGAGTAGCAGCCTGACTTGAATTAAACTGCAATTTCTTTCATTTAACGGATGGATTCGTCCTAGCTGCCGAGGATGAGATGCACAGATTGGATGGACAAATCAACTCCCTAAACGTCTCGATGATATCGAAGCCCGCTGCAAGGAACGCCTTCAAACCCTCGAGAAGAAGATGAAGCGGTACCAAAGGCGCGTCGCTCTCGTGCAAGAAGTTGTAGAGGCCCTGGAGAGAGATGAGGAAGACGACGAGCTTGAGCCAGCATCCCTCACCACTCTGATGACACGCACACAACACAAGAGAGCTCGCGTGGAAAAGCCACAGGAGGTCATCCCCCACAACACCTCGTTCCGCTCGACCATTGTGGCCTCACACTCCTTTGTTGGTCGGTGTAGGCGGAAGAAGAGGAAGAGGAGCCGCAAGGCGGTGTAGAGGAACCAGATCCCTAACTCCTCCTGCCAAGACCACAACACCCGACGGGTCGACAACGGACACAACGAAAGCAACGAGAGCACCCTCGCCTTCTTGATTGTACAGATGGAATTGAACTGCATATGTAGATACACACATACACCTATGATGTTCTTCCCTTCAGTGTAATGTAGCTGTTGCCGGGGCTTGTTGTTCGTGCTCGAGCAAGGTTGCCAGGATGGCGCCATTGCTCTGGGCCAAGTCCACCGCCGATCGCCCGTCCCTGCAGCCACCACACGAACGAATGAGCCCTCAGGCCTCAACAACTCCTGAGCGGCCTAAGGGGGCAACATACCGCGACTGGAGGCGGGGGTCGGCTCCGTGAGCCAGCAGCAGCTTCACCATCTCGTGGTGGCCCTTCGTCACGGCGACATGCAGCGGCAGCGACACCCGGGTTCCGGTGCCGGAGACCACATTGACGTGTTGTCCGGCTCCGTGATCCAGCAAAAGCTGGGCTGTGATGCGCGACAGGCAAGCATGCAGCATTGTGTGTGTGTGTGTGGTGTGTGGTGTGTGGTGTGTGGTGTGAGGTGTCAGAGTTCTGTGGTAACGAACGCTATGTGCGGTGGTGTGTCGTGCCTAGGGTGACGTTGTTTTGGAGCACGGCTCTCGAAAGGACCTCAGGGTTGTCCTTGGGATCGACGCCGCGGGATATCAGCAAGCGAGCCACCTCGTTGTGCCCCTTGTCCACGGCCAGGGAAAGTGCGTGGTCGTCGGCCTCGGCTCCGAGGTCCAGCAGGTAGCGGACCACCTCGGCTTGGCCTGCGTTATATTCCATTACAACACACGTTGCCTTTTTAACATAACACACACACACACACACACACACACACACACACACACACACACACACACACAATAAATAAAGCTCTGATGTGTGCACCAAAGAACGAACCATAGCGAGCGGCGATGGTGAGCGCTGTCTGGCTTCGGAAGTTGAGGGACGCGTTGAGGAGGTCGCGCGACTCTTCGAGTATTCTGCGCACCACCACGATGCTGCCGTACTTGCACGCATGACGCAGCGACTCTTGGGCGTATTGCTGGGAGCAGAGAGCTCGCACTGAGCTTGCGATCGTGGGTGTGTGTGTGTTGTGCCGCGTGTGTTGTGATGCGTCTAAGAACGCTTGTGTGTGTCGTGTCGTGTCGTTAGTCGTGTGGTGTGCAGGGGTACGGTACTGAATTGAGCGCGTCGGTGATGATGCTGAGCGAGTTCTCATGTTTCCGTTTGCGCAGCTCCCATTGGCGTTGCTCGTGGGCGAGGGCGGCTTGCAGTGCGTCGCGCTTGGCTGCCAACGCCTGTTGCTGCTCGCTTTGGGCATTGCGCTGCCCCTTGAACAGGTAACGAAACGACTGAAACCACGAAACTGGCGCCCTGCCGCTCTATACGCACACGCAACACGCAACACGCAACACGCAACACGACACATGAGAGTTAAATTTGTGTCTGAGTGCGTAAACGGAGTGAGCGCACCATCTTGAGTCGGGTGGCCGGCACTGGTGGGCCGCCAAAGATTTTAGCATGCAGCGCGCGCCACATGGCCGCATCTTCGGTCAACCGTCGCCAATGCTGAGACGTCAGCCCCGCACTGTTCACCACAAACAATGTTGTTCGTTTTCTCAGATTGTGGGTCTCCATATGGACAACATGACATCACAAGACACGCGAGTGGAGGAAGAGACAGAGTACCGAAGGACCAAGTCGGCGGGACCCAGGAAAGAGAGGATGTGCTGCTGCACCTCCTGCGGCAGGTCGTTGATGTGCAGCCCCGACAAGGCAGCGTCGTCTGCGCGCTGAGTTGCTATGGTTGGCGTGATGGTAGGCTCTGCTCTCACCGTCTCACCGTGGTGGTCTACTCCTTCTTCCCTTTCCACCACAGGCGACGTTGCTTCTTTGGCCTTGACGCAGGAAGGGCCTGCCAGCTCTTCATCTTCTACTACTCGCCTGAACAAGACCTAGTAGAAATTTGAGTAGAGACTCAAGTGTTGGTTGGCAGAACAATAACAACAACACATATAGACAAAGATGGGGGAGCACACCTGAGCAGGGGAGGCCTGGCCCAGCCCCTTGCCCAGCCGCACGTCCACCTTCAGCGTGGGGTGACCGCCGCCCCCCTCTGGTGGCACCTGCGCCAGCACCACTGTCCAGCACCCGAGCACCACCGTCAGCGGTCCGCTGTCCTGCTCCTGCTCCTGCGCGTCCATGTCCCTCAGTGCAGTCACAACAACCAAGGCCTTGGCCTGAGCTGAAGGTGACACCTTAGTCACAAATACCATTCCCTCCTCTCCTGGTGCAGCCTGTGAGATTTCCCACAAGACAAAAGAGAAACCGAAACAGAAAGCGAAATTGCAAAATAATAATATCCTGTCAATAAAAGTAATGCGGGTATCTTAGAACTGCTTGATGGCTCAGGATGATGATGAAGAGGGACAGAATGGATAGGCCATCTCAACGACCAGGTCCCTCCACTTGCAGCGCGTGCACAGCGGGGCGTAGAGGCATGGACAAGAGGGCCAAGAGGAATTCGGGAGGCATTCTGCCGGAGGAACAGGTGAGACGTGGTTACTGCGGATCGCAGAGCGAAAATTCAACTTCTTTCCGCCCAATGCAGCGACAGCCCTCGTGCGGGACTCCAAACAACCGCACACACAACATCGCCCCCCTTGGTGGCGGTTGTCTTCTCCTTCACGGCCTTCTGCACACACACAGCTCCCCTCTACTCTCCTTGGCTCGCACCGCGACCTCTCAATCCACACTTGACACCGCATAGCTGCAGCTTCAATCTTTCATCTTTCATCTTCATCTTTCCTCCTTGCTGAGCCTGCAAAACGAGTAGAGGAGCCTCTTTCTCAAATACACCACACACCTCCAAAATGGCGCTCGTGCACGATAATGCTGCCAAGGACGCTTTCGTGGCGCATCGAGCAGCCCAGGAGCTCTACCGGCTCGGCTGCAAGGGCCAGACCGTGCAGCTCTCCTCGTACGCAGCCAGCCTCAACGGGGACAATATCGCAGACAGTAGCGTGGGCGTGGGCGCCCTCATGAAGATCGTCGAACGTCTAATGTCCTACTTTCAATCTTTCTACAACCTCGAAGAGGACCTTCAGGTACACAACCCCTCCCACCATACTCCACGGCCCCATGAAGATGGTTGCAGCAACGTGTAGAGCTCTAAATCTACCCGACCACGACAAAATACAGAAACGGGAGGAGCTGCGGAAGTTCAACGCCCTCGCACCCTTCATGCGCCTGCCACCGGAAATCATCTTCCACGTCTTGAGCTTCCTCTCCGCCAAGGACCTCGCGCTCGTGCAGCTCAGCTGCTCTGCCCTCGCTCGCTATGGTACCGTAGACGCTTCTTTCTGAAACTCAACGTGCGTAATGTTCACCTTGCTGACGAGGAGCACTTCAAACAGTCTGCGACGAATGGTTGTGGAAGCGGCTGTGCGAGAGGGACTTCACGCCGATCAAGAACGCTCTGGCCGGCTACTTCGGCAAGAACTGGCGATGGGTCTACCGCAGCAAGGTGGTCATCTTCAAGGGCCGAGGCCAGATCAAGGACGGTGACGTGGGCACGCTCATCACCAAGGACGGCAGATACGAAGGCGAGTGGTACGTTCTCCTGGACCATCGTCGCCATTCTTCGCCTTCTACGCCAACAAGGAGAATGTGCTGATCGTTTCTCGGCATCACCATCAACACTATAGGAAAAACGGCGAGCTCAACGGCTACGGCTTCCTGGTGAGCTCGGTGGGCAACATCATCGAGGGCCAGTGGAAGAGCGGCATGGGCCATGGCTTCGGCCGAGTGTCGTACGCCAACGGCGACCTCTACGCGGGCCAGTGGACCGACGGCGGCGTGACCGGCAAGGGCGTGTGCTACTTCATGGAGGGCACCGTCTACAAGGGCGACTGGAAGGACAACGCCGTGCACGGCCGAGGCTCTTGCTGGTTCAGCGACGGCAACAAGTACGATGGCGGCTGGAAGCTGGGCAAGAAGGGTACGCACTCACATCTCTGTGGTGTATTGTGCCGTTACAACACGCAGAGCAAAAGCTAACAGAGATCCTTCCTCTTCGCAAACATCACAGATGGCCCTGGCGTGTTCTACTGGAAGAACGGGGCGACGTGGAAGGGCGTGTGGAAGAACAACAAGCCCGAGGGCAAGGGCAAGCACTACTGCCCCGTCACCAACGAGACCACTATCGCGGACTGGCAGACCGAGTTCGCGTGCTGCGCCGACGCGGAAGCTAAGAAGGATCTTCACAGCGACATCCCCGCGCCCATCACGCCGCACCAGGTCGCCTGAACACGGGGCAATCGCAGCATCACCCTCCAGCACCCATCATCACAAACAGACAGGAAGCCAAGGGAGTGGTAGCATTGAGAATGCTGTCAAGCTCCTTGGCCACCCTCACCCCTTGTATAAAGTTGCAACATAGCTTGTAAATACTCTGTAGTTAGACCCACGCAGCAATGCTTGACCCGACCAGAGGGAAGAGAAAACGAAAAGAAATGTTATTTCTTCAGTCCGTTCAAGATGTCGGAGGCAATGGACCGACTGCACAGAGTTGTGCTGAAGGTCGGGGTTGAGATTTGGCCCACGTGGAAGGCTGCGAAGGCTCAGCCCGGAGCTCAGACACCATCGACTGCATCCGCTCAGTGGGCGCGTCAAATGCGCGATTTCGAGGAGACAATGAAGCCGGCCTATGACCTCCTTCTCCCCGACACGTCGGTCATGTTCCAGGAACTAGAGCGGGCGAACCACTTCATGTCCTCCGAATTGTGGCTTCTCAATCGGATGCTCTACAAGAACAAAAATCAGGTAAATTATTATGCCATTTTTTTTCCGATTTAATCTTGATCTCATCTCTTCTCGCGTGGTTGTGGGCTCAGCACGCACATGCGCACTACTGGCGTCATCTCGTGCACGTAAGAAGGTGATGACGAAGCTGATGGAATTGCAGCTCCCTCTACTCCATCAACGCTTCCCATTTTCGCCTCCCGCTAAAGCCCCGTACTACTCGCGCCTCCATCCCTTCGACTTTGTGCTACTCTTTGATGGGTGGTCCTCACACGCACGACCGCACACGCACACGCACGACCGCACACGCAAATTTACAGTACGGACACACCCAAGGGTGGCAAGAAGGAGGTGAGGCCGCACCACGTACCGCCGACGAAGGTCGAGCTCGAGTGCGTCCTCTATTGGCTCCTCGCTGTCGCGGTCTTTACCAACGAGGTGCGGCTCATTCGTCTTCCTCCTCCTCCTCCTCCTCTTCCCTCCTGATGTAAGGCCTCGTCGCTTACGTCAGGCCATTGCACACGCACGCGCAGGTGTTGAGCGTCATCGAGAAGGGCTCGCTGGACATGATGTCCCTGCTCGAGCAGACCTTCTTCATGCCCTTTGCTCTCACGGCCCTGGGAGTGTTGAGGTACACACACCGTTCACTGTTACATAATTATTTATACACACCTCAATAAAGAAACAAAACAATGTTTCCAGTATTCGATGTTTGTGCGACTCACCAAGCAATGGCGATGCGTGTGCTGTGTAGTCGGTTCTATGCGCTGTGCAAGTTCGTCCTCGTGCAGCTCGACTGCCTGTATGGCGCCCTGCACCGAGCCTTGGAGTTCTACCCCAAGAAGGTGAGCACTACTCGACTTTGGTGGTCCTATACATGCCATCTCGGCCCAGCTGAGGCTGATTGGCGCTCTTCTTCTTCTTCTTCTTTCCTGTCTCGAGTAGGAGCTGGACGTGACCACGGCGGATCATGCGAGCCGACGGCACGTGGTGGACCAGTTCGCCGGCCTTCTGGGCTCTCTTCCGGTCTTGCTCGAGCAGCGTCTCAAGGAAAGGTACAACCTCTGACCGCAGCCCAATGTCAGCCCCGGCGTTGTCGCTCACACAACCTCTTTTGCGCTCGCCCGTTTCACAGCGAAACGGCGCAGTCCGTGGCGCTCGCGCAGGTCATGAAGCAGATGGCGGCCACCTACACGGAGGCCTCCCAGTCTCTTGCCTTGCCAGCCCCCGCGTCTTCGTCTGCGACCACAACAACCTCGTCTGCGGCTGCTGTAGGCACTTCGGCGACTACTAGCACTCCCGCCTCATCGACGCCGTCATCATCGTCGCGTAAGCGCAAGGCCGCCGCGAGCGTCAGCGTGCCTCCGTCGCCCGCGGCCGCAGATCTCCCCCTGCTGGTACCCATAGCGTCGACGCCGACGCCGACGCCGACGCCGACGCCAAAAGCGAAAACGAAAGCGAAGGCGCCGCCATCGGTCCAGGTCATGGAGGAATCGGCCTTCAAATACCGGGAAGTCGGCGCCCGCGCGAAGAAGCGAAAGACGAGCGAAACAACGACGGCGACCACCGCCACCGCAGCTTCTCCTACTCCTGCTTCGTCGTCATCGTCATCATCAACAACGGCCTCGATATCATCTTCAACTCCAGCAACGCCAGCGCCGGCGCTCAAGGCGGTATCGATGAAGCCGGCGACGACGACGCCCAAGAGTAAGGTGAAGAAGAGTGCCGTGTCGATGTCAGCAGCACCACCTGTAGCAAAGGCCGGGGCGACCGACAACGCCAAGTCCAGCGAGAGCCTGGATGACATCATGGCCGCGCTCCTGCCCGGGAAGAAGACCAAGAAGCCAGCGACGCCCACCACGACCACCAAAGCAGCGGCCACCACGACGCCGGCGGGCAAGGAGGAGGCCTCGCCGGCCGCCGAGAAGGTCGCGACGAAGACAAAGACGAAGAAGGCGAGCGCGGGCAGCCTGGACGACATCTTCGCGTCGTTGATGCCCTCGTCGTCATCATCGTCATCCGGCAACAAGAAGACGCCAACCAAGAAGAGGAAGCAGACCCACTAAGGCTTGTAGCGCGGCTTTGTTTGATGGAGGGAAGCAGAAGCAGCAGCAGCAGCAGCAGAAGAGAAGAAGGAGAGGGCTGAGGTGATGGTGTTCAGTCGACCTTCCACTTGCTGGCGCACTTCATGCAGCGGTAGAACGTAGAGGACGGTTCGTCGGCCGATCGCGTCTGCAACTGGAAGAAGTTGGCCCGGTCGTGTCCACACTCGGGGCACTTGGCTGGTCACCGCCACCACCCCATCAAAGGAGACGTGGTGAGATGCCGACATGCAATCTTTGAAATAAATGATCATAATAAATATCATATAAATGACGGAGCAGAGAGATGTCGAACCTTCGGTCTGCTGGGCGTTCTCGAACACTTCATCGCCGAGGATGTCGTCGACCTGTTTGCGTTCTAGGGCCGCCTTTTTGCTGATTTTTTGATCGATCCCGAAAACGTAGGGGCAGGTATTGCAAAAGAATCGCAGCCTGTTCTCCGGTCCGGCCTCCACGAGCAGCACATTTGCACAGTACGGGCAGAAAAGCACCATCTAGATGATCTTCTGCTTCCTTTGATGGCGGGAAAACAGCCAAAACCTTTTATCTTTATTTTCTTTCTCATTTTGCCACCTCGGCGTGGAGCACAGGCGTGATGAGCTGAGCTTCGCTTATCAACGTCACCACCATCCGCAACCACAACGGGGTTGCGTCATGGCGACAACGACATGACGAGACCGTGGAGGTCTTCAGCTGAAGACGCAACCATGAATGAGCCGCTGGGACAGCCGCAAGAGGAATTGATGGAAAAACGGGGTGAATGTACACCACTGACCAACGCCGCCAGACCACAGCACAGGCACTCGAATCAGACTTGGCCACAGCTCTACAAAGAACACAACACGCTAACAACACCACCAACACAACACGACATGTCCGCTACCGACGCCGTGAGACCCCTCACCCAGTTCAAGGGAATGGTGGACAAGGAGCTTCACCAGTTCGAGCAAACGCAGTCCTTGGCCTCCTTCGCCTTCCCTCCCTTGAGCGCCGCTCAGTGCGATGTCGTGTACGCACTCCCCCCCCCCCAAATTTCCCTTTCTCTCCTGCTCACTCGCACTCGCACGCACCACCGCACACGCACGCACACGCACACACACGCACGCACACGCACGCACGCACCAAAGACGGCAATGCGCGCAGAAGCACGGATTGGGTCCGATCGTGGAGGTGAAGGGGGAGAAGGGGAGGCTGATCGTGTGGAAGAAGGACCGCGTGCCGTCGAGCGTTGAGGATCGGCAGAAGGCCGACGTGGAGTCACGCTTCGACGAGCAGCACGAGTTTCTTCTGTGGGACGCCAGCCAGGGCACCGAAACCCAACTCCACGCCAAGTAAAGATCAAGTGAGTTTGCACCTCTATCTATACTACACCACGATGATGTCCACATGTTGTGGCCAACATTCAACGTACTGAGTGGTGCGGGGTAAATATGAATATGAGTATTATTATGTTTCATACACCAGCAGCTTTAAAGTACATTATGTGCGCGTGTGACAACGGACCGTCCACTGGGTTCTCCCGGCCCGACCGACTGATGGCGAAGGTAATCATTTGACCCTCTTGTGCTTCTTGGCGATGTACAATCGCAGCGCGTTGCCGTTGATCAGGGACAGTGCGTACTAGGTGTATGTACAAAAGTTGAAAGTGCGGTAAGCTCGCACGCCTTCAGCAAGGGGCTTTCAAGGTTTGGCGGTGCGGTACCTCAAAGTCGCCCTGCTTCTTCATCGATACCTTATCGCCTTCTGGGTCCTTGTACTTGATCACAGGGACAAACTTGAACTCCTTCTCCAGTTGCTTTTGCAGATCCTGCCCAGGCACAATTGATTGCCACAGACACATTCATAAATGAGTGACCTAAATGAAGCACAGCAGAAGATGAGGGACTCACCTTGTATGAGCTTCCCTCCCTTATTCGCACGCATCGTGTCTCCTTGTTGTAGAGACATTTCACTAACAGCTCCGGTTCCATTTGGCCGACTGGAAACACATTCAGAAAGAGTAAAACGAAAGTTATGAGAAGAACGAAACGGGCGTTGACGTGCATGTGTGCGGTGCGTGGCGTGTGCAGTGCGTGTGCGTGTGCGTGTGCGTGTGCGTGTGCGCGACGTACTGGAGATGGCGGAATCGACGGACGAGAGAGTGTCATCGTACAGAGATGCATCGTCAAAGGTGTCCAGATTGGCCCGCAAGTGGTCCAGGTACTTGAGGAATCTGCCGACAAGAGGGGGAAGACGGTAAGCAACAAAGCAACACCAGCGTCACTGCCCAAAGACGAACGGAAAGAAAGAGATGACAGAAATTATGAAAGGCTTGAGTACCGTAGTCGGTGGCCCAATTTGGAGATAGAGAGGGCCTTCAAGTCGAGCTTGGTGAGGGACAGGAGCAGCTTGCCGGTGATGCGGTTCTCGTCAAACTCGCTTTTGTAGGCGCCGAATCCGATCTGTGTGGTTTTGGCCGAAACCACGCAACATGAAATGAGCTTATCGAATCGGAGTTTAGGACCACCACATGCCTTACGCTTAGTAGGCAACCAGTTCGACGCCACGGTAATTCGATGCCACGGTGTTGCGTACCATTTCCAACCACAGCGACACCTCGTACACCGACCACGATCGCGGGTCTGTGTGCGCACGCAGATGACACATGTTGAAACAACATTACAGAGGTGCAGCTTGGCAGGCGTTAAGTGGGGCTGGGTTCTGGATGGTATGTCCGTACGTTTCTTCTTGAGATAGGGGTCGATGAGGCTCGTGATGGTTCGGCCGACCTCAGCCAGCCATACCCGCTTCTCAGCCTCCGAATCCGCCACGAAGACGATCATCTGCTCGGTACCGACCACCCAACAGTTGCATAAGTCGAAGTGGTGTCTGAGGTTTTTACGCGGAGCGACAAGGCTCGAGGCGAGAGTACCTCGTTGGTGCTGTCCTTGACGACGAACACTCGCGACAGGTCGTAGGGTATCATGAGGTCCTTCACCTTGCGTCCTGTCCGGACCTCCGACTCGCGGCAGAGGGTCACCATCATCGTGGGCTCCCGGGCCTGCCGTGGAGGGCAAACGTCGCCGCAGGTGTAAGCGCAGAGACGAAAAAGATGAAAGATGAAAAGTTGTGGCAGAAGAGGGCGCTGCGGAAACTGTACCGTCTGCGAGGGATAGTAAAGCATGGTGTTGTCTTCGAGCTTGATCCACCCTCGGATCCATTTGTTTGTTGATTCCTCGCCCTGTTGTTTTGCATTTTGTAGGTGACGAGGTGAACGGAGAGATCAGACGCTAGCGGGTGAGGCAAGGGCGAGGTAAGGGCCTGCGATGCGAACCTGTGTAGTCAAGAAGCCCTCCTGGCATCCAAACACTTTGTACTCGCCGCTGTTGTGGCCTTCGGAGGGGGGTCCTTCATCGTCCGAGTCCGAGAACTCAGGCATAGCCGGAAGTTTGCTCTGGCTCCTGGATCCACGCTTTGGAAAAGCGCTCATCTTATTGTTGTGCCCTCTGCCTGTGCGCCCCACCTCCTCTCGTCTTCGTTCGTGTTGTTTTAGTATTGTTTTGTTTCTCTTTTGTTTTGTTTCTCTTTTGTTTTGTTTGTTGTCGACAAGTTCACGCAGGCAACACGTTGGCGGGAGACAGTCGCGTAGCACAAAACAGATCACAACAACCGCAAACGAGAGAAAATGGCCACGTCGGCGGATGGGGGAGGTGGCGGAGAAGGGGGCCTACGACACAGACGCCTGACGGACCTCATGCAGGAGGGAGAGGGAGCTGGCTCGACTGAGCCCAAGTCCAAGATGACCCGCAATCTCTCCTTCTCTGGCCAATTCCGAGTCAATGCAAGCCGCGTACCCGCGCCCGTCGTGAATCCCTTCATCAACGAGAGTATTGCCATCACCGGCTACGAGTGGTTCAAGGTTCGCCATCTTTACACCTATTTTTTTGGCTTATTTAATTCATCTTGTGGGTCCTCCTCCGTTTTACTTTTACTACAAGTACACGATGCATTAAACAATGTTATAAATATAACAATTTATTCTAATTAACCAATGTGCTGGCGTGCAGCTCGTGGTGGGTAGCGTGCTGTTGGCGCCTATCAGGCTCGTCCTCATCCTGCTGCTCCTGGTGCTCGCTGTGCTCCTCGTCAAAATCGCCCTGCTTGGTCTCTCGGTGCGCGACATCCACGACAAGCCCTTCACCCGCTGGCGCAAGAACGTCCTCCTCCTCGTCAGGTGCTCCCACTCTCTCGCTCTCTCTTCCTCTTCGGCTACTCGCTGCTCGCTGCTCGTTGCTACTATCGATACTTGCTATGACCGTGCTGCGAGTACTACGCTGAGCCAAGGTGGTGCTGACGGTGTGGGGGAACCACCAGGTACATGGCGCGTGCACTCCTCTTCGTGTGGGGCTTCTACTACATCCCCGTCAAGGGCAAGCAGGCCGACTTCGACGAGGCTCCCATCCTCGTTTCCAACCACGTCAGGTACCACAAGACTCTCTCTCTCTCTTCCTCTGTCGTTCTACGAATCTGTGCCAAGTAGTACGAAACGTGGCTGAACCTATGCGTCGGATTGCATCAGCATGTTCGATGTGCTGTTCTTCTACTACTACGAGCTTCCGCGCTTCATCAGCAGGAAGGAGAACATCCATATGCCGTTCGTCGGTACCGCGAATCACCCAACCGAGTGCTATTCATGTTGGAGTGCTCAGCGACAACCTGTCTGTAGGCACCGTACTGTGCGCGATGCAGGGCATCTTGGTCGACAGAAAGGATCCCGACTCGAGGAAGAAAGCCGTGGAGGCCATCAACGAACACGCCAACAAGTCCGAGAGTACTTTCCTCCCCCACTTAACACGTGTTTAGCGTTTCCTCTCAAGTGCGCACCATTAACTGGCACCTGTGGCTCAGGCGAGGGATGGCCGCGACTGCTGGTGTTCCCCGAGGGCACTTGCACCAACCAGAAGGCGCTCATCTCCTTCAAGAGCGGCGCTTTCAACCCTGGTAGGCTCCTCTATTCTCCTTGAATGGTTAGCGAAGGCATCTGACGTGTGCGGGCTTCATCACCAGGTAAGCCTGTGCAGCCGGTGGCGATCCGGCATCCGTTCATCCATTTTGACCCGTGTTGGGTGAACGGCATCAACCTCCCGCTCCTCATGTGGCGCTCCCTCTGCCAGTTCTCCAACTACCTTCAGGTAACCATCAACTCTTTGCAGGTCCTCCCGTGGTGCTCTTTGTCTCAATAATGACTTTTCACTTTGCAGGTCACCTACCTGCCTGTTCACAAGCCCTCCAAATACGAAAAGGCCAACCCGCAACTCTTCGCCAATAATGTTCGGTACGCACGCGCACGCACTCGCTCTACATACGACACAAACTCAGACATACGGGAAAGTGCACTTTCTGACGAAGAGATTGTGCACATGCGTCTCTCAGGGCGCAGATTGCGCGCGCGCTGAACATTCCTACTACTGAGCACGGCTTTGACGACGTCAGCTTCGCCATGGAGGCCATGAAGCTGCAGGAGAGGCCCGAGGGCTTCGGCGAAGTCGACCTCAAGCACCTCCGGTACGCCGTACAGCTGCCCTGAGCGTATTGATGGTTATTTGGCTCACCATTTGCGTATGTGAAGTGAGTACACTCGAATGAGCCAGGAGGACCTGAACAAGCTCCTGAAGAAGTTCTCCAAGTTCGACAACGACCGCAGCGGCGACATCACTTTCCATGGTACGTTCGTGCGATGTCAGCGTTCCCCGTGTCCGATACGTATTTACACTTACCGACCGCGTTGCGTGCTTCACCGATACAGAATTCCGTGAGGCGTTGGGTCTTCCCAATTCGGATTACGTGAAGCGCCTCTTCCGCCTGCTCGACACCGACGACTCTGGTACAACTCCGGGTCGCACCGACGCCTTTTTTGGGTAGAGCAGCGAGAGCTTACGCGGTGTCTCGCGCTATGACTCTGTTTTCAGGTTCGATCTCGTGGAAGAAGTACATCAGCGGCATTGCTCTGCTCTCCGAAGAGGTCCGCGATGACGAAGCGATCAAGTTCGCGTTCAAGCTGTTCGACCAGAACGACGATGGTCGCATCGAACAGGACGAACTCTTTGCGTACGCACGCACGCACGACCGCACACGACACGCGCCACACATTCTCACATGCTCCTCACACACTTCGCCTTGCTCGTCGTTCAGGATTCTGAGTAACGTCATCACCACCATCTCCCCGGACGAGGTGGAGCAAATCTTCACGCGCGTCGACTCCAACCAGGACGGCTTCATCGACTGTGGTAAGCCCAGCCTGCCTGGCCTGTTGCCTGTATCGCCCGATCGCCACCAACTCACTTGTGTGTCGTGTGTGTCGCGTGTCGTGTGTGTGCGGTACGTAAAGACGAGTTCACGGGTTTCCTGCGAGAGAACCCAGAGTACATGCAGCTCATCTCCTTCCGTCTGGCCGAGAAGCGGGCCGAGGAGCAGCACCTCCAGGAGGCCAACGAGCGGGCAGAAGGAGAGGAGGCGGCAGGCCAACAGAAGGACGCCTGAACATCAACAGGCCTGAGTAGTGTTTTGTATGAGGTGGCGGGGTGGGATGTATTTCAAGGCAACTGGGTGTGTTGTGTGAATGTAAAGATATTAAACTCTTGATGTGGGTTGATAAAAATTTGTATTATTTACAAAGACCAAGTTTGGCAATGCAATATCAGCCGCTGCTGTTGATGCTGGAGCTGGAGCTGCCGCCAGCCAACATGGTGGTGGTGGAGGTGGAAGTGGTAGCGGAGGTGGGGCTGAAGTGTGGCACCGTGGCGGCGGTGGCGGAGGCGTGCCTGCCCTTGTGCGTCCACCGGCCCTCCTCGTCCTCCCAGTCCCGCTCCAGCTTGCGCGCGATGTTGTCCAGCCCGAGCGCCTCCATTCCGTCCTCGAGAAGATCCTTCTGCGATGCCACGTGTGTAAAGTTGCCGCACACTGCGTGTTTTGTGTCGTGTGTCGTGTGTCAGGATCGTCCATGCGTGTTGTGTAAGTATGGAAATGTGAATCTGCACCTTTGCAACAGCAGCAGCAACAGCAGAGACAGCAGTAGCAGGGAATCCAATCAGTCCAGCTCGAACTCTGTAGACCACCATACCCAAAATATGTAAATAAATAAAAAAAAAGTATTACCTGTCAGTAAATTAGCATGGTCGAGTAAGAAATACAGTGGATGGTGACCTTGTAGGTGTCGTAGCCGTAGGCGTAGCTGTGGGCGATGGCCACCAGCATCATCTCAATGCAAATGATCAGATTCTGCAACGCGGTTCCTACGAGTCCGTGGCTGTCAGTCCTACACCGCACACACCGCACACACCGCACGCACCGCAGCGTACCGATTTCCTCTTCGCTTTGCCAGTCCTTGCCGAGGTGGACGTTCTCCTCGTTGAGCACGCCAGCCAACCGAGGAAGGCCATGACGATGCCCTGCCAGAAGGCGAACATGATCACCAGCTTGATGCACAGAAACTTGGACATCGGGTTGAAGGGCTTCAGCTCGTTCTTGGTCACGTGGTAGAACAGCACCAGGAAGTACATCGACACTGCCCTCACAATAATAACGTGAGTTGCGCACTCGCGTTGCGTGTGCCGTGTGCCGTGTGCCGTGTGCCGTGTGCCGTGTGCCGTGTGCCGTGTGCCGTGTGCCGTGTGCCGTGTGCGCACACGTACCGGTGATGGAAATGTTGTCCACGATGGTGATCCACAGGTAGCCCTTGTTGAGCGAGAAGTCGCCGTCGCCATACCTAATGTTGCGGCCGAACCGCACACGCACACGCACCACCGCACACGCACACGAGCGTCCTGGGGTGAGTTGACTGCGTAGTTCCAGGAAAAAGGCGAGTGAACGTGCCAGCCCTTGGACTCCAGCACCGCAGCCAGCACCGCCAGGCTCGGCTGTGCACAAATAAATGCAAATCAAGTAGTAGTGAGACAACACCACACAGACACACACACGACCGCACGCGTGACCGTACGCGCGACCGCACACGCGGATGGAAGGAGGTGCGTGCCTTGAGGACGACGAACTGGAGGATGCAGCGCTTGGCGAGGAGGAGGAAGCTGGCGCCGGGCTTGAAGGGCGGGAAACAGCAGGTGGGCCACGGGTGGCCCGTCACGGGCTTGCTCTCGAGGAGCGCCACCACGCGGCCCTCGCTCACCTCCCACTCGCGGTCGCGCACCCGACGCATGGACTCAATGCTGTCCGGGTCGAACTCGTCGTCCTGCAGTCTACGCCCAAATTAATTGAATCATAATTCAATCATAAAGCAAAAAAGCATAAAACGAAAAAAAATAATAAAACAAAAAAGAAAAGATAAAATAAGCACATATACTTACCCTTAGTATTTATTAGACTATTATTAGATTATTATTTTATAAGTATTATAAATTATTTGGGGGCGGTTGGGGCACCTGTGGTGATCGAAATCGTATTCGTAGGTGTTGATGAAGGCGATGAGGAGGTTGAAGAATTGGTAGAGCACGTAGGCCTCGTAGGCGTCGCGTGCCAAATCGAAGTAGAGCGACCACTCCTTGTACTGCAGGGAGAGCCAGCTGTCGATGGCGTAGATGGGCACCATCAGCAGGATGCGCACAATGTGTCGTTGCAGCTTGGGCTGGGTGTAGTTGCGCAGGTGTTTATAGACCAGGTAGAGGGAGAGCAACGTCGAGAGGGCCGTGCACAGGCCCGCCACGAACCACACCTTCTCCCACGTGTCCATCTTTTTCGATTTCGTTTTGTTCTGCCGCCACAGTGACAGAGTTTTCTTTTTTATTATCATTTTTATTTTGAAATAAAAAATCCAGAAACAAAGAAAAAAAGAAATATAATTATTGTGCTGCTTGGTCAAGCGTGGGTGGGGCTGAACTGGACGAGGTAGCGCAGCTGCTGCTTGGCGGAGTCGTAGATCACGTACTCGTCGTCCACGAAGTCTGAGGCTCGCTTGGCGTAGCGGCCACGCCTTTTTTAAGACCATGATACACGTGAGCGCAGCGTCGAGAGGGCAGCGAATAACAGTGAGGCGAAGGGGGGGGCTGTACCGTGGCAGGAGTCGAAGCCCTGGGGCGGCGCGGTGAGGTGGGGCGTGATTTGGCGGTAGTCCATCATGCGGCCCAGCTCCACGTCGACCAGCAGCATGAAGCGGTCGTCGTTGGGCGCCTCCGCCTTCTTGACCGCCTGCTGCTCCTTGCCTCCCCTCCGCTTGCCTGTTCGGTCAGCGTCAGATCAACGACGCACGACGCACGACGCACGACGCACGACACACGACACACGAAGGCAGTGGATCAACGAACCGCCTTTGGGAGGAGCGGGGCCGGTGGTGGGCAGGGTCGCCGGCAAGTTGGTGTACTTGACGCTGGAGTAGGAGTTGTCGCTGAAGTAGATGCCCTGGCCCAGGTACCCGAAATCGGTGCGCGCCGATAGACCCTAATGTGCACGTTCGGTCCATCACACACGCTCACCGGTTGTCAATAGAGCGAAGACGAAAGCGAAAGCGACAAAGAAGACAAAGAACGAAAATGAAAACGAAAATGAGGAAGATGACGGGTTCACCTTGGACACGACGACTTTGGGCGGGAGGATGCCTCGAGAGAGGAGGCCAACAAAGTTGAAGACCTTGGAGGCGTGGAACAGAAGGCGCTTGTTGTTGGCGGTTGCGGCGTCGTCGTCCGCCGGCTCGTCGTCCGAGAAGCTGGCGAAAGCCGACCGCCTCGCCAGCGCCTTGGCCGTCTCACCGCCCGCAGACTTGTCGATCGCGAAGACGTTGGCCACCTCGAGCGTCATCGCATCGTGCAGCTGCGCCACGACCGGCGGGCTCTGTGTCGACCCCATTCGTCAGCACCGCACACGTAGCACACACCACCGCACACACACACGCAGCACACGACACGCGGCAGCATGCGGGGCGCGGTACGGTCTTCTTGCGGAGAAAGTGGGCCTGAATCTCCCGGTACTGGGCACTCGACTTGTCCAGTGGCTTGATGCTGCACTGGAGGGCATTGTACATGCGGTCGATCTCCGACGTGGCCGACGTCCTGCTTCGCATGTTGCTCGTCTGCGCGTGTGTAGTGTGCGTGTGCGTGTGTGCGTGTGCGGTCAGCAACAACACGTGCTAATGGACATGAGGCGTAAAGACGAAGGGCGCACCTCGATGATGTCCTTCATCAGCTGGAGGAGATCCTGCTTCTCCTCGAGAAACTGCAGGTTGCTGATGACCGCCTTGTGGACCTCCTCCTTGGTCGTACCCAGCCGGTGCGGAATCATCGAATAAAAGTCCTGCGAGAGCCTCACAATCCTCGCCTCCCTCTTCTGCGTGCGTGTGCGGTGTGTGTGCGGCGGTGTGTGCGGTAGAGTGTGCGGCGTGTGCGGTTGTGAACACCAAGAGAAAACCTGGATTGGCGGGGGTTGACGGTACCTCTTCGTCGTCGACATCGGCACCCTCGGCGGCGAGGATGTCGTTGAGCTGCGCGAGCACGTCCTCGCCCCGCTGGATCTGCTTGCGGGAGAGGATGCCCAGCGGGGTCTCGATACCGCGCGTGGTGATCTTGGCCACCACCGTCTTGCTCACCGACTCGCTGGCCTGGTCGTACAGGTGCTTCACCAGCCGCTGCACCTCCTGCGGCAGCGCCGATGCGCCATCTCTACGCTCCGGCTCCGCCTGACGCGATGCCGCATTCCTTTCCGCATTCTACCGTGTACGTGTGTGTCGTGTCATTGATCGCGTGTGTCGCGTGTGTCGTGTGTGTCGTGTCATTGATCGCGTGTGTCGTGTGTGTCGTGTGTGTCGTGTGTGTTGTGCGTGTCGTGCTACAAACCTTGTCGGAGCCGATCTTGGGGGAGACGGAGACGAGGTCGACGTGCTTGTAGCCCTTCTCGTCGGCCATCTTCTGGGCCATGACGTGGTCGTAGAGCAGCTCGGCGTCGGCGAGGGACTGCAGGTAGCGCGTCTCCTTCTGGCCGATCTGGGTCTTGGCCGAGTCCAGGTCGTCCGTGCGTCCGTGGTGAGTCAGTATGCGATAGATGCACCTCCTATTGTAATATTAAAAAAAGGTAAGAATATGAACATGTAGTGTATATAAATATATGAGTATGAGTATATGGTATTAGCGCACCCGGGGTTGTCAGGCGACACATATTCATTGGACATGTGCAGCTCCATGCTGTAGAATTTGTTGTGGTTGTCCTTGATGTCCATGCACTACCCGCCCACGCCGACGTGTCAGCTCAAACCAACAACGTAACGAAAGTCGATTGGCGTCGATCCGGGCGCGATGAGAAAAGAGAGGCGCCTGCTGACGTACGTGGAGGACGTCCATCCGGAGGAGGTCGTAGTTGGACGCCGGGAAATAGGGCTCCACCTTGCCCCCATAGCTCCACACCGACGCCTGGGGAATCTCTGCGATGATGGTGTGGATCATAAATAGGCACCGGTGCGAACCCCACCCAACTCCCGGTGAGCCAGTGCGTACTCTTTCGCTCCGTGGTCACCGACGTTTGGTCTTCTTCTCCTTCTGTTGCGTCCTGCGCCTGTGTGTCGTGTCGTGTGTGCATTCTTAGAATTCCACTCTATGGAATGTGTAACATTCCACTGCAGTGTGCATACCTTGGAGGCGCCGAGCCGTAGCTGGGCGAGAAGGTCGAAGGCCGGGTACTCCTTGACGCGGACGCCCTGGCGCAGGCACTCGTCGAGCCACTCGCCGGCGATCACGTGGAAGACATCGTCGCCGCCGGCCCGCGCCGCCGGCTTTTTGCCCTCCTCGACGTACTTGCGGGCCTGGCGGATCTTGCCCGAGAGGTTGTCGGCCACCTCCTTTGGCGTGGCGACCAGATGCGTGCAGCGGTCGTTGAGCATGTAGCTTATCGTGCCGCCGTGCCGCTTGATCTGGTCGGTCAGCTCGGACTTGCGCTTGAACGCAAAGTGCTCCGAGAACGAGAAGACCAGGCCGGCAAACAGGTCCGACGGGGCTGATGATGATGCTGTCGACGAAGAGAACGACAACGATGAAGAAGAAGACGAGTCCTCTTGGTCGAACCACTTGAAGGAAGTTGAAGACGATGATGATGATGAAGATGAAGATGACGGTGATGAATATTTGCTGGCTTGGTTGGCCTTGAGCTCCTTCATGACGGACTTGACTCTCGGCCCATTCTCGGAGGACTTGGCCCACTGCTCCACCTTCTTGGTCACCGCTCTGTCCACCGCCTCCCTGCCCAGTCGACCATAATACGTTCGCCGTCCTGGTTACTCGCGCGACCGGTCACAGCACACGACACACATCGCACACGCACACGACACACACGCGGCACATGCATGAGCTTACCAACGCAGGGGCCTGGAGGCGGATTCGAACTCGGCCTGGGCTTCCTTGCGCACGTCCTTGACCATCCACTGCGCAATGGCCTCGATCGTGGTGTGCTGCCGCCCGTCTGTCGATTCGCCAAAGTACGTCAAATAATTAAATAATTAAAGAAATAAATAAGTAAAGAAATAAATTAAATGAATAACAATAAAAACAAAATGAAGAACAAAGGGAGAGTACCTCCACTCTGGCTTGAGACTTCCTGCAGGGCTTGCTCGTATCGAGCCTCGCTCAGGAAGAGCTCGGCGAGCTCCTCCTCCGAGTCAACCACGTCAACATGAATGCTGACCGCCTTGTCGAAGGAGAACAGTCAAACCTTGATGATCGTGATGGTGATGATGGTGACGATGGCGATGATGATTGATTGCATACCTCGTTGGTTGTGGCGTTACCTCCGGCGTCTTTCTTCTTCACCATCTGGTGCGTCTTGCCCTTGGTCTTGAAGGCGTAGGCCGAGAAGAGCTCAACGCTCAGCACGTCCTTGAAGGAGCCCACCTTCCTATCGGCCAGATCGACCGGATACCACACCACACCTTGCATGACACACACCGCGTGAGTGTGTCGTGTCGTGTGTGTCGTGTGTGTCGTGTCGTGTGCGAGTGTACCTTCACCGGGTCCCCTGATGTTGAACTCCTGGAAGACCCAAGGGTCGAACCTGTCCACCTCGTCCACGATGGCGTTGATCTTGGGCAGTTGGCCCTGCACCGGCGGGTACACACACAAGGGGGGGGGGCTGCTGTGTGAATGGTCCGTCAGTTGCATGCGGGAGTGACCTCCAG